TCATTCTCTCTTATTTCTTTGTGTGAGCTAAAATGGTCTGTTGTCTCCAGGACACCATCGGGTTGTTGTGTTTGAATTTAATTGATGACTGCACATCGATGTGTTCTTAAACTCTAACCAACTGTCTCCTGTGGATATAGTTAGAAAATGAAAGTGTCTACACTGTTCTTATTCATTGTTCCTGCACCTCAGTTTAGGGTGGGATTGGCTGGTGCTGGCTGCTATCTATCATTGGCTCTTACCAAGTGGGTGGAGCTCCAGAGGGTACCGTTGTGCCTGGGTTGTATGGACAAGGTTGCTGTCTGCTGTCAGGTAGAAAAGAGGAAACCCCTTCCCTCCCTTGTCTCCCTTCCACACACAAGAGAACAAAATAGAATAAACAAACAAGAAACCAACAATGAAACGAGAAAAATAAATAAAACCAGGCAGTAACTAGAAAGAAAGAAAGAAAAAAAAAAAAGAATATGACTATAAATACAAAAAAGAGGACAGAGAAATGGAACTATAGATGAGAAAAATAAGAAAAAAAAATAGGAATAAATTATATAATTAAAAAAAAAACGGAAAAACTAGGGAGAGGGAAGATGAAGAGATAGAAGAGTAGAAAACAGTAAAGAAAGATCAAAGGGGGGAAGAAAAGAGCGGAAATGAGAAGAAGCAGAAAAGAAGGAAAAACAAAAGAGGAAATGTTGTTGTTGTTGTCAGGTGCCATCGAGTTGGAACCAACTCATAGCGACCCCATGCACAGCAGAAAGAAACAATGTCCGATCCCGGGCCAACCACACTACCGCTGCCACACTTGAGTCCATCAATGCTGCCACCTGGCCAATCCATCTCGTTGGGGGTCTTCCTCTTTTTTTCTGACCCTCCACCTTACCCAGCATGATATCCTTCTCCAGCAACTGTTCCCTACTGACAATTATGTCCAAACTATGAGAGACGAAGTTTGGCCATCTTGGCCTCCAAGGAGCACTCTGGCTGCACTTCTTCCAAAACAGATCTATTGGTTCTTTTGGCAGTCCATGGCACTCTCAGTATTCTCCTCTAACACCATAATTCAAAGGCATCAATTCTTCTACGATCTTCCTTATTCACTGTCCAGCTTTCACATCCATATGAGGTTATTGAAAATACCATGGCTTGGGTCAGGCGCACCTTAGTCATCAAGCTGACATCTTTGCTTGGCAACACTTTAAAAAGTTCCTGTGCAGCAGATTTGCCCAATGCAATACGTCGTCTGATCTCTTGACTGTTACTTCCACGAGTGTTGATAGTTGATCCAAGAAGAATGAAGTCCTTGACAACTTCAATCTTTTCTCCATTAATAAGAATGTTGTTTATTGGTCCAGTGGTGAGGATTTTTGTTTTCTTTACATTGATATGTAATCTATACCGAAGACTGTACTCTTTGATTTTCATCAGTAAATATTTTAAGTCCTCTTCACTTCCAGCAAGCAAGGTTGTATCATCTACATATCGCAGGTTGTTAATGAGGCTTCCTCCAATCCTGATGCCACGTTTTTCTTCATAGAACCCAGCTTCTCATATTTTCAAAAGAGGAAATAGGAAGGATATAATTCAAGGGAATGGAAAGAGAGGAAAAAGGTGAAGAAAGAATAAACAAAAACAGAAAACTGCAGCTGTTGTAACCGGAGAGAAGAAAACTGTAGGTCTCCTATGAGCCAAGGAACTCACGAGGTGACTATGGAAGGGCTGTGACAGAAGAGTTTCTGGCCCGAGATAGATTCCTATCAGCCTCAGTGTTATCTATATTTAGGACACTCAATCCGGAAGTAGTTCCTGGAGGCTAGCTGGGGGCAGGGTGATTGGTTAAATGCTGGTCTGGTGGGTCTGTGGATTCTGGAACCAAGCCTGCCTCAATCCAGGCACCAAAGCAACTCAGCTGTGCCCCAACTCAGACAGACATGGTTCTTAATCACATGGATTTGAACTCTGAGAGAGCAGAGTCTGTACTGGGGATGGATGAGATTGAGAACTGCCCACACCTCTGGTTACCAGGGGAGCATAGGGGGAAAAAAGAAGGAATCACACCTTTCCTGTCACCTGTGTGAATCTTCTCTGTCAGGCTGCCCTCTGTTGCCAAAGCTGCTCACAGAATAGTCAGTCTGCATCTTGCTGGCTGTTCACTAGTCAATGTCTTTCTCTCACTGTCCCTGCTCTGCTTCTCCTCCCAGCAAGCACTCAATCCACTTCTCTTAACCTTTCCTCTGAAGTTCAGGGTGCCAAAATTTTCATCTGTGTCTGTTTCATTTGCTCTCTCACGTATTTGTTGTAGGGGGTCCATGTAGTGTGTCTGCCTAGTCTGCCATCTTGTCAGAAGTTAGACCATTCTTTTTAATAGTATTATGGTGCTAGCTGAATTGTAAAATCATTTTGAGAGCAACCATTCAGAATTTAAAAAAAAAATGAAATGGAAAAATCAGAACATGACACGATGTACTCTTTAAAAATTAAAAAGTGTTCAACTTTGAAGATTAGAAATGAGAGACTGACAAATTGGACATTGTTAAATCCTTCAAAGCTGGATGAGAACACGGAGTTCTTTTCTTGGAAGGAAAGCTCTAAGTTGGGTTGAAAGTTGATTGGATAGCACATAGTGCTAAGTACTTTCAGATGTACTGAGTCCTGGTGTGGCGCTGTAGGTTAATGCACTAGATTGCAAAATTGGTTTGAACTGTAACATCAGCAATTCAAGCTCACCAGCCACTCCTTGGAAGCCCTATACAGGATTGCTATGGGTCGGAACCAACTTGAAGACACTTAACAATAACAACAACAACAAGGAAGAAATGTAGGTGAGTCTTTGAATTATCTAAATAACATATTTTCTCACTTTCCATGATCATGTATAAACAATATTAAAAACAGTGACCATCAATAACAAGCCCAGAACAAAAGCAGGATCTCAGAATCTTTGGGAAGAGGGGGCTTGTGGGATTTGAAAAAAGAGAGTAAATACGGCAAAGTCACATTTCAAATATAATATAAACTACAGAATTTAATCTTGACCCTTTTTACCCCCTCAACATCTGAGATGTGGTTTAGGTTATCAAAGAAACATGGGTGTATTTGATTTATGCTGAAAAGACCAATCGCTCACAAGGCACACAAAAAAAAGACGTACACACGTTAGGCTGATAGTTTAATCAATCATTCCATTCCTTCTTTACATAACTTTCATTTCATTTGGGGGCTTCTGAGTCTGTATCTGGGCTATATATCCCGGCTGTAGATAACATTCTTGATAAAAGCAGTTCAGACACAAAAGGCAATTAATCAAGGTCAGTTTTGAAGTTATCTTGTGGACCATGAAACATGTCTTCAAAGAAGGAAAGGGAAACCTTTAGATACTTAGACTAACTTTCATCAATTGCTTTTAACATCATTTCATTCCTTTGGGAAGGGGCAAAGGATGATTGCAGACTCAAGCTACTTTCCATGTAACCTAATAAATGCAGCCGTTTCATGGTTCAGAAAAGCAAGAAAGACACTGAAATTTTGAGATGGGCTCTAATTCCAGCTACTAACTAGTTGTGTGGCTTTGGGCAAACAAGAGGGAAACACTTGCATCTCAGTTTACCTTCCTTAAAATCCAGCCCTCAGAGTAGAATAGCTCAATTCCTTTCAACTCTAACATTCTGTCAATGAATGACATCAGCTGACCATTGCACGCAATTCTACTTTTTTTATTTGACATTTATTCATTTGATACATATATACATATATAAAAATCTGTACATGGTCAAAATACAAAATAAGTATTTATTTATAAGTTATACAATTAAACTACTACTTTTTAAAAGTTTAAAAGTCATTGAAAAAAAAAAAAAGGAGAAAGAAATCTAGTCAATTCTTTATAGTCATCCACAATAACCTTGGTATAAAATATCCATACAACACATGTGTACAAAATAGTGTACAGTTCATAAAAGCTGTGCAAAGACAGCAAAGTTCAGTTAAAAAAAAAAAAATCAAAGAGGTTTCTGGGTCTGTCTCTCTGTCCATATCATGTCCTATACTAAGAAGCTTTGCAGCTCAGAGACATCTCTCGGTAAATATGAAAAGGGCACAAGATAGAGTGCTTGGTGCATATATTATGAAAGCAGAAATCATAAAGGAAAGGCATTCAAATACACAGAGACCGACTCTTCTCCCCATTTAGTGATCTTGCTTTTCTTCCACAAGAGAAGTTGAAATATGACTAAAGAAACAGCATTTATTTTGTGCCTTAGACCAGTAGGCACAAATATATATCTTTTCTTCTTTAAAAAAATTGGAACTTTCAAAGAATACTGCTATTGGAAAGCTGGGGTTATCAGTCTGGAGTAGGGTCTGAGGCCCCTGCTGGAAACTACCTAAAATAGGGAGGTGGCAGCTAAGAAGTTAGAGGTACTCGTGCTATATGTATGGTGTTTTGACTCCTAACTCTCCCATCTTATAGGACTGTCTCTGCTAGAGTTGCAGGACCTGGCTTATAATCCAAACAACTCCAGTTGCCATGGAGTCAACAGGAGACACCACGTGTTGTAGAGTAGAATTGCCCCACAAGGTTTTCAAGGCTGTGACCTTTAGAGGCAAATTGCCAGGCCTTTCTTCTGAGGTGCTTCTGGGTGTTTCTGTTGTAAGTGGTCCAGTGTTTAACTGTTTTCACCACCCAGGGACTTTGGTTAATAACTAAGCCCTCCATAATGCAAACCACATACTTAGGTCCCAGATCACTGGGATCTTGGGAATGGAGACCCCCTCCACCATTGTGTTTAAACTAGTTTGCAATGAACAAGCAGAAAGGAGTCCATGTGGGAAGCTAAGATCTGGAACAAGACGTAAATTAAATTCTATGGGAAAGGCCACTGGGAGGTGGTGGTGGGGTAAGGATGTCTCTTTTGGGCAGTAGTGCCCTTGACACAGCAGACTGAAGCCCGCCTCTTCAATTTCAAAGCACTTCAAAACAGTAGGGAGTGGGGCTAGGAATGGGGCTTCTAGGAAACAGTGATTTCCTCCTCCTCCTCACCCTCCTCATCCTCTTCCGAGTCAGAGAAGTCCGAAGGTTTGCCAGGGCTGCTGGAGTGCGCCGGCGATGCGGGCAGCAGCCCTTCGAGTCGGTGGTCACGTAGGTGTTGAGGGTCGGGGGATGTGCGATGGGCCAGGCGATGTCGGGGGCTGCCCTGGCCTTCATCTTCCTCCTCGTCATCCCCGGGGCCCTTCTGACCCACGTCGCTGAGGTCTGGGTGCGGGTTCAGCTTGGTGGGAAGGGTCTGTTCACGGCAGCCCCCGCTGGACAGCAGTTCGCGCTCCTTGGAGTTCCGCCATTTCATGCGTCGGTTCTGGAACCAGATTTTCACCTGAGAAAGGGGGAGGGAGAAAGGAGGGGTGAGCAGATGTGTGCGTAGAGGCCTAGGAGGAGGGCTGCGGGCGTGGGGGAGGAGGAGGCTCTACCTTTCTGACCTCATCCGCTCCCCGCCCCCAGAAATGAATTCAGATGGCAAGCAGCGCTTCACTCACCTGGCTCCAAGTTTCTCTGGCCCCAGATGGAGTGGAGGGGGTGGGGGTGGGAGGATGTGCATAAATGGGATTGGGGCCTGTCCTGAGGTGCCGGCAGGAAGCTAAATCGGCTAATTATCGCCTTTCCGGACCTCATTTTCCCTTCAATACAATGGGACTAAGTGGTTTCAGAGTACCCTTCCAGTTGGCAAGTGAACCGAGGCGGGATGAAGCTTAGGGGGTGTTGTGCGGAGACTACCCTTACCTGCGAGTCCTTCAGGCCTAACTTGGCCGCCAGCTTCTTGCGGTCGGGCTTGCTTATGTACTTCTGTTTCTGAAACATCTTCTCCAACGCCTTGCGCTGCACATCCGAGAACACTGCTCGGCGCAACATGCCCCGGCGGGGTTTGCCTCGGGCGGCCAGCGGCCAAGAGAAGGTACCCGGCATGGGCACGACGCTCGAGGACGCTGCGGAGGTGGAGGGGGGAGGCTGCGAGTGAGTGGGCGCCGTCCTACCCGACCAGGTCGTGCCCGCCACTCCAGCTCGGCCACCCTCGTTTATCGTTTTTTGTTTTCTCGGATCCCTTCATCTCTTTAAAGTTCTCCTTTTTCTCCCGCCCTGGAGAAAAGGCCCCAAACCTACAAACCTGCGACAGTGAAAGGCGCTTTCCGCCCAAATAACTTTGCCTTTCAACCGTGCAAACTCGGATTAGATAAAACCACGGAAACACAGAACCAGCGTCCACAATAGTCTGTTTCGGGTTTCAATTCAAAAGTTTCAGGGATGCAAACCTGCACACACCAGCTAAGATCGCAATCGAATAAATACAGAACAAAAATACAAATAAAATATCCAGCTGAGGCCACTGGGTTTTCCCCCAAAGTGTTTTTTTTTTTTAATACTACTTTGGTTGCTTTTATATTCTTTTATAAAACTTTTTATAGTGAATTGCGCGAAGGTTTACAGAGAAGATCATCAGTTATACATTCAACAAATCATACACTTCGTTTCATTTCAAGGCTTTTATATTCTTAAGATGAAAAACCATTCTTTTACTGATTTGATAAAGAGGGGAAAATCCGCTTTGGGACTTTTATAAAAAAACAATCAGTATTCATCTTTTTATGAATCTTTCCTCCCCTCCCCCATAAACGTAAAGATTTCGGCCCGAATACATGAAAAGTGGCAGCTAATTAGCACATTGACCGCTTCCCAATGGATACGGGCATGATAAAAAGGGGGAGAGTTTCGCTTTAAGGAAGGGGGGAAAAAAAACGAAAGAGACAGAGACTCTAATGAAGCGTGAATGGTAATTGTGTAGTAATGAACTAACAGAAAAAGACTGAGGACAAGCAGCGAAAGCCATATATTACTGGGACAAAAGAGATTTACACTTTCAAACTAAACACAACTGCAGGCCAAGACCATTGGGAGAATACTGATGGCAGAGGCTTCTCTTCCTCCAATCGTTTTCATTAAATGGACATGAAAAGCTATTTATAAAGCTCGGGTTGTTTTTGTTAACGCATTGAGATGAGGAAGAAAAGGAGCAAATTCCATTATCAGCAACAGGGTGAATGCTTGGGGGGGGGTTGTTGGTGAATTCTCTCTCCCCCTTTAAAAAATCAATTGTTTGTTTCTTTTGCTGATATTTGGGAGTGCTGTCATGGTTTTACCCATCCCCCACCTCTGTGGATCAGTCTCTCTTCTCTTTAGAGGAACTCTTCTGTCTCCTTCCTTTTGAGTTTTGACCAGTTGCAGAGTATTTGAGCCATAGTTTGAATCACTACTGAGATTCCAGGAGGACACCCTTGTGAAAGGTGTTTCAGGTGTTTCTCCTTTAGGCTAGGATCCAACTACAACTTCCGGTTCAATGTGTAGCGGTGGGTTAATGCGCCAGACTGCAAAGCCGTTTGACATACCAGGTCGGCAGTTCAACTCACCCCCTGCTCCTCGGAATCCCTATGGAGGTTCTCTATGGGTCAGAACTGACTCTACGGCACTTAACAACAACAACAACGTTCTTTAAGATTGGTGGGGGAGGGAGGAAAGGGCGGGTATGAGAAGACTTTGGGAAATCTGGTTGGAAATAGAAGGTTGAGGTTGGGGGAGGATCTAGTCCCCCTCCCACTGGGCGACCCCTAGCACCCCACACAAGAGGGCACCCCATGTGGTCTTGTGAAAAGCCCGAAGCCCTGAATGAGTCTTAAAGAGAAATTAGCCCCGGCTGGTAGGTGTCTCTCGGCGGCGTGGAGGGGCGATGGCTGGTCTGTGTGTGGCTGCCCGGAGGAGCTGACCAATTGGTCATGGTGCTGAAACCTTTGTGGGGAATCGTGGCCAAGTGCACTGACTCTGTGGGAAAACGGCGGCGTGAAGGGATGCCAACAGCTCCTCGCCGGGAAGGGAACCGCCTCAAATTGGGACCATGACAATTCCTACTAATTTGTAGAGCAGGGAATTGGTGCAAAGTGTCAAGCAGTCACTGCTTGTGCTAAATAGGGCATCAAATTGGCGCGACGGATTCGTGAATGTTGTACGCCTCGCAACCTCTGAACCAGAGCGTAACCCCAAGGGGTGGACTGAGAAATATGGCTTGGGGCAGAGAGAGTCGGGCCGAGGCTGGGGCGCCGCCAAGCCTGGCACAAGGAAGTGGGACAGACCTACCTGGGAAATAAGAAGATCTGATGAAAGGCTGGAAGGAACCTTCAAAGTAGGGAAAGGCGAAGGTCTTGGGAGGGAGGCTCTGGAGCAAGGCGGGAGACGTTTCTGGGAGACACGGAGGGAGGGAGGAGGATAGACAAGGAATTTGGTTACGTAATTGCTTATTGTACACCAGATTGAACACATGACATGCATCTTCCTCAGTGCACTAATAGCAAACACATTTTTTTCCAGCTCTGACTGATCGTTTGAAATCCTTCCTTTTCCTCTCAGCCCCTTCCCAGGCAATAAGGAGAAAGATAGTACTGGGCCGAGAAAGAAAAGAATCGTGCACCCACAATACTAGTTAATTTAATCAATATATCGTCTTGAATTTTTACAAAAACTAGTGCTAGTCGTCCTCATGGGAGGGAAATGTGCGATCTCTCCGACTGCGTGGTTCAAGTTCATTCTGAGGGTGGAGCAAGCCTGGAGGCTTTTCTTCCCTAGAATTGGTTAAGCCTTGCACTCGCATTGCCCAACCTGAGGCATCGGATTTCGTGTGTGCCCTACGTGTGCGTGGATGCCTGTTCTTCACAGGAAACTTACGCCAGAGGGACCTCACCCACACCTCACACCTGGACTAACCCTCAGTCTCCTGCCGTCACTTACCTGTTCTGGGTGACGAGGAGAGGATGGCGTTCACCCCAAATTTCAGAAACGTGGACTCACTAGTTGGGGAGACCACCGTCTGCGGGGAGCCGCCCCGCCGGCTGCACCGGCCAGGGGAGCCTGGGTCCGAGGACCCGGTGTCGGTGAGGGTCGCGGGTGCCCTTTGCCTGGGAGGCGACAGACTGGTCGTGGGCACGCTGCGGGGCAGGTAGGCGGGGGGTCGGCTGATGCGGATCAGATCTTCCACTAGGAAGCTGGAGTGGCCAGAAAATGCCGTCTGCAAGGACTGGGGTAGCGTCAAGGTAGGCGTAGGGCGCAGGAGGCTGGGGTACCCGGCGGGGGGCGCGAGGAGACCCGGGAACATCATCATAGGGTAGGGTAGACGGAATAAGCCTTCTTCCAGCGGCCCGAGGGTAAATGCTTGGCTTCTAGCCCCTCCCGCCCCCGCAGTGCCCTCTTTCTGGGGCTTCGCAAACGTCTTCACGTACGATTCCACTTGGGCGTCTGCGAGTCCTCCGTGGCCTTCCAGTGGAGATGATGGTTTTATAGTGGCCCGTCTGCTAAAGCGCTTTGAAAAGTGACAGCTCTGACAATGAAGTTCAACAAAGTTCTCCACTCGAGCTTCATTCGCCGGGGGCGCTGGGCGTTCTGATTGGCGCAAGGGTGCAATTTATGATTGGATTAGTCTTCATAAGCATGGCCCGCACAATGGGCTGGCAACAAAGGCCTTGGAGCATCAATTCTGCATATCGACCGCCTCTTTGCAATACAGTGAATCCCCAAAGCTCTCGCCAGGGGATTTTGTTCCGAAGCAACACCCGGGCTAATTAAATGCCTATTTAGAAGTTTCAGATGACATCTTGCCTCATAGAAAAGGAATTATTTAAAGAACGCACTAAATTTATTTGCAGCTCCCTCGCTGAGCCTGGAAAATAAATCAATAAATATTCATAGAAATTCATCTCTAGGCTATCAGTAAAATAGTCCTCCTCCCTTTAGGGGGAAGACAATGGAAAATTTCAAGCCAGTGAACATGAAAATAAACTCCCTCTTCGGTCTCTAGCCTTATCCGTTACTCTAGCTGAGACATAAAACAGATGTGGGGAGTGGGTTAAATTAATGAGAGTGGGGGAGGGGTGCCATTCTAACAACTCAGGGAGATTTGGAAATGGCTACTTTGGGGCTGTTGGACGACTATAGGGGTGGAGAGAGGTCTGGAGTTGGGTTATTTTTATTTCAAGAGACTGCTGCGTTTGAGAGCCATGGTTGAGATGTGAAGAGTTAAAAATGAGTCTCTTGCAAAGTTCCAGAAAGTTGCAAATGGTTTCCAGTGAAGTTTCTGCAGAAGTCTCTGCAAGGAGCTTTCTGCAGCTGCCTGGGGGAGGAGCAGACGGGACGAAGATGCTAGCAAGAGTATTCCATTCACGGGGCCTTACCCCTGCCAAAGGCTGCGACTGGGAAGGCAACCTCAATGTTTGTGAGTTGCCACACTGGCCCTTTTCCAACCTCAAGAAGCCCTCGGCAGTTTCATTCAAATTTGCAACTGGGACATTTTAAGTCATGCCCGGGAAGATCCGGAGTCTTCGGGAAAAGTCCTACCCAATACTGAGTGCGTAACTTGGTTTCGCACTCTTTAATTAAATGCAACATACAAACTCGTGAAAACGGAGCGAAAAGCAAGGATGCTGGTCCACACGAGGAAAGCCTTTCCTGAACTTGGGGCCTCAAAGGACTCTTCTGGGGCCATTCCCTTCATTTTCCTCTAGGCTAACGCTGGGTAACGCTGAAGCTTGATTCGCCCGTTTCAGACTCGGCGAGATAACAGATGTGTTAAATGTCCCATTCATTTCTTTAGTGTGGTTGAACCTCCCCAAAGAGAAGTGTGCAGCCACGCCAGGCCTCCCTGATCCTATTAACCATGAACTGTCACCTTCAGCTGGTTTTCCTTTTTGCTTTTTAACACAAAGCTTTCTCAAAAATCTTATTAACCAGCTTTATTTCTCTCGATGGTTTTGTTCAGGGAGTTTTGTGTTGATCTCCATGTCGCTGCTTTAACCGTTCAATAAAAGTGCATCTGCGATTTATATCACATTAAACCAGAAACGGAGTGCGCTAACGCTCTCCCTTGATTCAAATTAAAAAGTTATTTAGGTCGGAGCTCTGAAGACCAGAATTAATGCTTGAAGATGACGCAAGTGCAGTTTCTGAGCCCAAGACTGCTGATGGAGGAGTTGTGGGCTGCAGTCGGGGAGAAACCAGAGCTGGGAAGAAACAAACTTAAATCAGTCCCTATCAAAAAATGGGGAATGCATTGCTTGAGGTAATTGGAGTTGTTTGTGAAAAGGAAAAGGGAGACATATCCATAAACTTAAAACATGGCTCCTTTTGAAGTTTTGCAATAAAATAAGGGAGAAAACAAAGCTTTCAATGCACTCTCCAGCCCTTTCCCACCCCCAAAAAAAACCTCTTTTCTGGACTAAGGAGAATCAGCTCTTGTTTTTTGAATTCTCCATGTGGTTCGATGGCACCTAACAACAACAATGCCGTTCTATTCCAGTCAGAAAGCTAAGAGCAATTGCCAGGTGCGGAAAGAAGACGCAGACTGCTACAGGTGTTTGTCTCTCTTACACAGGAAGCGCCTGCCCAGTCTTCAGAAAAGCTTGCCTATAATATAGCCAATATCTGCAGAAAACAATATGAGTTTCGTTTTAGGAGGCGGCAGGGACGCGAGGCCAGCCTGAAACCTTTCTAGCGCCTCATTTCTGTAGACATTCTGCCCTGTTGGGATATTTCTCTGGATGTAGTTTTTAGTTATTATTTCTGTCCATGGATTCGTTCCACGCTCCCTCCTCCCACCCCACCCCCAATATACACACATCGGTCATTCTGCCTAACTTTTCTGCTCTTATAAAAAGGGTTTGACATTTTTTGGAGGGTGGGTCAACCCCTTGCTGAGATCCACGTGGACTCCGCGTCCTTCGATCCAGCCCTTCAACTTCCTAAAGAATTCCTAAAGCGCCAAAGAGGGCGGAGGCGAGGGCTGGTCGCCCGTGAAAAGGCAAAATAAATCCCAAGGAAGCAAGAAATCAGACGAAAGGATCTTACTTTAAGTGATCTCCTTGAACGCGTCTTTTCAAACTCTGCCATAGCCTAAGGGGCTGAGCGACGCAACGGCGGCGGCTAAAACCTGTGACCAATGCCGTTTGACCTAAACCCATGGGGTTTTGTACGTTCTGCCATTCAATATAATGTCGTTATCTTCAAGTTTATTTCGGAGAAGTCATTCACGGCCTTTATCCCAGGACTACGGTTTCTGTCTCTCTTTTTCAGGGGAAAAGAAGAAGGGAAGGTCCTCGCCTGACCCGCGTCTGGACTTGGGGCTCCTGGGCCTACGAGGCCAAAGCTGTCCAAGCCTCCCTGGGACTGTCGGAACCGGCTCTGGGGGGTTGTTTTTCGCAGACAGGGGAACGAGGGCGCTCTCCAGTCCCGTGCGTGCCAAGGTCATTACGCGCTGGTCTCCAGTTTAGGCGGAACTTGGAGCTCCTAGAAGAGCTCAGGCCCTGAGAGGGAGCCGAATAGCCCTGCAAAGTAAAGCATGGCCTTCTATAGATGGCCAGCGTTTGGTTCGGGAAAGTTGGACACCCTAAAGCCGCCCCCCCTTTTCCTTTCTCTCTCTCTCTCTCTTTTTTTTTTGCTGGTTTCTGAACCCCCAGGCCTCAGGGCTGTAACTTCCGGCAGAGTCAGTGCACATTTTGCAGGTTGGGCGGAAAGCCGGACGGAAACGGGGTAAAAAGCGCTCGATGCCTGGCTTCTCCTGTTGGGGGAGAAAGAGGAAGGGATGGATGGCTAGACTCTGCTGAAAGAGCTCTCCGGGCGCCCCAGCCTCTCTAGGCAAGCCGCTCTATTAAGACACCTATAAGGGGTTCACCTTCAGAATAGGCCACAAGGAGCCACCGGCCGCCCCAGCCCTTTCCAGAGTCTCCCCCCCACTCCCCATCCCTTTCACACTCGTTCCCCTCTTTTTTCCTTGAAAATCCTTCTATTGTGCCAATCAAGCAGATGGTTTGCAGGAAATATAGCTTGGCCTCACTGACCGAAACTAATTTTAACTAGCTTTCCAAGCCTGAAACGTTTGTTTTGCTCTTACAAAATAGCCCCCAAAACAGCTGGCAAGGGTGAATTAAACCCATTAAAGACACATTTATAAGAAATTATATTCACATAGATTGCTTGAACCCCCTTGTGCAGCCTAAGAGGGGAGATGAGCGCATTTAAATGAAAATGTCACCAAACGCTCGCTCCCCTCCTTAACGTAGCCTGCAAGTCTCAAAACATTTTACTAAATAGATTAACTTGACTATTGTCTTGCATCACATTTATCAGCTTCATTAAGTGAATAGCTGAACAAATATATTACGCATGCATGAAAAGCTCTTTTTCGAGGAGTTTCATTGTATCCTCAGCCCTGACAGGTGGTTAACTGTGTGTTGTGTTTTTTTTTTTTTTTTTTTTTTTTTTTTTTTTTTTTAACCCGAAGACAGAGGATCTCTCGTAGAGCGGAGCACTGTGCGGGCTGGGCCGAATTTACTTTTACTCGGTTTCTTCAGCACTCCAGTCCTAGTGGCATTAAGGGGGGGGGGGTACCCTAGTGAGTAAAAAATAATCCAAATTAAATTTTGGTCATCGGAGCCTTGTCCCTGAAATTAATTTCATCTTGCATCTTTTCAAAAGTGATATTCCCCTCCCTCCCTCCCTTTCTTTGGAAAAATAAATTGCTTTTACTTTTTCTGAAAGGGACTCTCTGTAGTCTGCGGAGTTAGATTTCCTTTTAACTCACATTTAGCTCTATTTCACATTTGTATATTATCTTTAGGAAAAGGTTTTTCCTCCTGGGTCTAGGTGGCTTGTGTATACAATGAGGAGTTGCTCTAAAGAACTTTTTCAGTCTAAACTTCAAAAAAAGGAGCTCTGGTTTGCTAACCTTTAAACATTAGACTTTTCCTAAAGATTGGTGGTTCAAACTCACCAAGCAGCACAGTAGGAGAAAGACCATAAAGATTGCAGCCAAGAAAGCCTTATGGTGCAGTTCTATGGCTTTGAATGGAATCAACTCAGCAATACCTAACAATAACAACAGAGTTTTAAAAAACCGGCAGCTCCTGGTCACCCCACCTAGCTACATACTACTCAATACACACTGAAAGACATATCCGGGACCTACTGGCACCCTCTCAAGGAGGAAAGAAACATGAGGTATGCTGCAGGCTTCCAGGCACATCATCAGCCCTGCAAGCTTGAGAGATCATGCTTCTGTCCCTGGGATCTCACAATCCAGAAGTAGAACCCTGAAAGCATCCTTCAGCCTCA